TATCTTCCACTTATACACACATTCAAATATCTTCTTTGTGATATACTGGTCCACTTGTCCAACATGAGAGTAAAGTAAGAGTAAGCTATTTTTTGAAACTTCCAATTGAATTTCAATCATTATTTCTTGTTTGATACCATCATGGTATTTCAATATTGGGATTTTTACATCCTTTCTTTTTTTGCAATTCCAAGCCTTTGTGATCAGGGCTTTGATCACAAAGTATCACACGTAGAAACGAACTTCTTGTTACTACTGTTACTGATAAACAACTAACAGCTGCTAATTTCGGAATTAGTTGCGGCATTAAGTGATTGTTCAGGTACATCTTTCTTTACTTCTTTATTGTTGAAGATTATGCACAGATGCAGAAGATCTCTAAATGGAATTTTAATCCGTCGCAGCTTTTAATACTTAAAGCTATAAACGAGTGGATCGACACCGGACACAATAGACCAATTAATTTTGAGTCGGACCGAACACAAAATGTGAAACTATGATATCAGACAGGGACTCATAGGATAGCGGAACACTAGAACACATGTCCCCTGGTAACTGCTGTTACACACATGGATCCATGCTAACAGGAAAGTCGGAACTGGGATTTTTCATTGAAGAACCGAAAAACGAAACAGAAAAGGAAGAAATTTTACTTCGCCTTTCAGATTACAATACAATCGTACAGGCGGAGGTTCAAACTGTAACGGAGTGTCTGAACTGATATCCTGATCAGAGTTTGCACTAAGGTCAGGATATAATAAAAATAATGGCAAATAATAAACAAGGCATAAAAACAATAACCATTAAAATAGTCAAATCCAAAACTAAATTAAGGGCTAAACAGAATATTCGCGTTGAGCGTTTTTTGTTATCGCGTTAACGCACGCAAAAAGTTAAAATATATTTAACTCCGAAGCGCAGCGCACATCAACTTCGAGCGTTTGTGTTATCGTTTCCTTGTGGTTGTTGTATTTTCGATAACACACAACGCAACGGATGGCTCAACGCGAGCATTCTGCTTAGCCCTTTAGAATGACATGGTTTCATACGAATCATATGGGTACCGAGCAGGGTTTGGAAATTCATAAATTTACAAAAATAGAAGTGAACAAAGAGAAAATTCAGTACATTTTACAGTTTTTCTTTGACAAAGGCGAAAATGCCAGCCAAGTGGCTAAAATTGTGAATGGTGTCTATGGTTCCGATACTGTAACAGCCAAATATATGCAATTTTGGTTTCGTAGATTCCGTTCATGAATTTTTGATGTTAAAGATGCACCTCGCACAAATAGGTCGGTCGTCGAAAATGTCGATAAAATCGGAGAAATGGTCGAGAATTACCTTTAAAATGGCAAGGTAATTTGGCACAAATCTGACGTTCCAAAGCATATTAAATCCTATAGTTCATATAAAAATATAATAATTAATACAAATTTATACAACTTCATAATTATACCCTACACAACTATGTAGTCAGGGTATTATAGCTTTGTGCAGCCCCAAAAGTTTGTAACGCCGCGAAATATTGGTCCTAACCCACCTTTAAGTATACCGATCGTCATATCTCGACTAGCTGAGTCGATCTAGACATGTGTGTCCGTCCGTCCGTCCGTCCGTCTGTCCATTATAATTTGTAAACACGATACAGGCCACAGTTATGAACCAATCTTCACGAAATTTTGCATGTAGGATGGGTTCTGGTCAATGAAGATTCCTATTGTTTTTGGGAAAGATCGGTTAATATTTAGGGGATGAAATAGACCAAATACTAATTTTTTGTCGGTTTTTCTGGTCGCTCCAGAGGCCGCAATAATGGCCCGAACATCGTGAAATTTTGCATGGAGAAGGGGATCGGGCCAAAGAATAAGCATGCCTGTTTTGATAAAGATAGGTCAATATTTAGCGGGTCAAATGGACCCTGACTTTTGTGTGAAAAATTACAAAATTTGTATTCTATAGCGTATATATTTACTCCTGAAGGACATAGACCCGAGAAGTTGATATTATCATAGAGGAGTGGTTGACCTTTAAATTAATACCAATTATGTTGTTGTATGTTCCCGGATGTGGGAGTTACACCTAAATATTTACAGGTATCTCCGTATTCGTATATTATTTAATAACCCATTATCACTCTAGAGAGCGGAACTATAGCGCTGATCGCTTTGAAATGTTCCACGAGGTTCCAGTTATGGTCAAGGACAACGCCTATAATTTTCGGTGAATATCAGATAATAATTTTGGAGTGTAGTGGACCGAAAACTTACTTTTTTGTGTTATTTTCGAGTCGATCTATAGACCACAAATGAAAGCCGAACATCACAATGCAACCCACGGTGAAAGAAAATCTGGACAATAGCTGTACTGAATACTCGTAATATTCGGAAAATATGTATGTGTGAGGAAGAGGTGCTGTTTATCTCTAATCGGGCAAGAGGGTGCAAATATCACTAAATATTGCCCAGGCTCGGAATAAAAATCCGCAGAAAATTTGAGTTCCGTGGTAGTTGTGTAGGGTATCGTATGGTCGGCCCCGTCCGACTATACTGCTCCGCTCACTGGTTTGATCATAGTTATATTTCTATGCTAGATATATTTCTTAACACCTATTTAGTTTTACAAATTTGAACATGTGTGGTTTGTTTGGATATGACATGTTTGAACATTAGAAATATAGAATGTGATTAAAATTTTAAATATAACTCTCTTCTTCTTACGAAAAATATTTAATCTGGTAACACTGGTTGCCACCCACCCCACACAACTACACATGTTAACACGATCAAATTGTACTCTTTGCAGCTAATTGTATGAGAAATTTTGTAATGCATGCGATAAGCAAGCACCCGACTGTGTTCACCGAACGATAATGCGGGCGATCAAACTGAGCGCTAGTCAGAAGAAGTAGGCAACCAAAACAGCACTTCGTCTTCCCAAGAGGCAATTGCACTCGCTCAGTGGGAAATGTGAACGCACACGGGTGTGATCGTCTATTCGATCGTTCTATTGTTTTTTCTTACGTTAACGTAGTTTTTAGTAGACAGAAGAAAACAAATTTAAAAACCCCTTAGCGTAATTAAGTGATAAACAAGTCTACAGTGAGTAGTAATATACGTGTGCGCTTAGTGATCAGCAGGTACAAAAAATAGCCGTAATCGTGTGTCAACAACGTTCGACGATTAGAAATCCCCCAACTCTTTTTATCGGTTATTGTTTACGTATACAACGCGATATGTTATGCTTGGCAGTAGAACGATAATGAATTAATATGGAAATTGCCAAAAAGTTTAACACAAGTCTACAAGAAATTCAAAATAAAGATGTTTTATAAATTGTATGCGAACAAATAAACGCCGAGTTGTGAAACATATAAAATTGGATGTTTCCCCAAATCAATTTAATTAAGGATAATATAGAGAAATACATAATGTGCAGTCAATCGGAAAAGTGTAACAAAGTGTTTAGAATCTTAAAAATGTGTCTGTGATTTGAAATAAACCTATATTTAGAAAATATTTGTCACATATTTAAGAAGAGGTTATTTGTTAGCATTTGTGCCGCTGAAGGATACTAACGAATGGAGAATCAATGGATAAATTATAAATATATAAAAGCAAACATAAAAACGTTTAATCAAATATATTGACGTCATAATATATAATATATATATATATATTTGAAATAGTAAAAACATTTAATTACTTCACAAACACATTGTTTAATATATTCCGATTACTTAAAAAGTTGGTACAATATATATAATGGTATATATATATATATATATATCATTTTGTATTTCAATGCCACTAAATTAATATTTATGAACGCATCCCCAACTTGAGGAAATATTGTAAATAATTGTTAATGAAAATAATTGAAGCAATGAGAAAATGTCAAAATATGTGAATCATATTTTGCCTTAATATTTAAAATGTATCATTTTTTATGTTGCAACTTCAATCAATCGTTCATATTACAAAAAATGATATAAATGATATAAATCCTTCTGCTATACAATTTTTAGAAAAAATAATATATGCGAAGTCAAGTTGCGGCAAATTATGAAATTTATTTTATTCCATCAATATTTTACAAGAAAAGTTAAAATATTTTCAAAGGTTTTAACGATAGTTATAATAATAATCTTGAAATCTGTACAATGTTTTTAATATTTTAGTCTTTTGTAAGAATAAAGACGTTAAACAAATGCATATTAAAAAAAATATTACTATAACCTTTCAAATATCCGTTTATATTGTAATGTACACGATACCAACAGAAATTCGAAACGTTTTATGTGCAGCATTTAGACCATAGAAAGGAGACTGTCACCATAGAGAGGAGACTTTGAAGCAGTGCTTAGTCTTGATTTAAAGTCCAAGCATAAAATGCTATCATCCTTTTTCCTGATGAAACCAATAATGAAGAAAAACATTTATTAAATACGTATGATCGGCTAATATTCGTTACATTTTATTGAAGTGTGTTGCAGAGTTTCTACATTCGATATTGTACTATTTAACTGAAAATGAATCAAAATTTCAAATTTGACAGCGTATTAATTTCAGAGATTCTCTACTGTACATTTATATTATTTATCGTAGTAAATACATTGTATATTTAATAATAAAATAAATTTTCAAATGGGAATTTATAACCATGTCTGAGTACAAACAAAAAACAACATATGAATAATAAATTAATGAATTTAATGGCAACACAGTTAACAAACAACCACAGTACGCAACAACATTAAAACGATTAATGTGGAAAATGATAAAAAAAATATAAATAAACTAACAAAACTCCAACCAACCGACCAACACCAACAAAATAATTAACTTGCCGATAAATTGCCAGTGTAAATTAATAAAATTGTTAACGTCAATAAACAAATAAATGAAGAAAATACGAAATATTCGAGCATTTACAACATCAACAACTAGAACAGTGAATTTGTGGATCGGCGGTAACAACAGACAACACGACACGCAACCACCATGTCAAAGTACCAGAAGCTAACAAACAACGATTCAACGTCAACACTAACAGATGATGAAAGCTTTGCGATATTCCCCACCGATGATGATGGCGATGATCGTCGTCTTCGTCACAACGATGACAACAGCCATTATCAGGTGGAAGATCTCATTCAGTACAACGACACCGACACCAGGGAACGTAATGCCAACAACATGACCAACAAAAATAGCATCAGGCACCCCAACAACAACAATGACATAAAGCATATGAACGGAATCATCACCTATCAGCACACAAATATTAATGACAACGGAGAGAGAAGAGGTAGCGGCAATTTAATTATAGCAGACCTCGACTTTGACGACAATACAATGGAAATTCCACTGCTGCAACGCAGTCACGGCGATGCTGGCAGCTGTGTCAACAACAACAACAATCATTTCGAAAGCTATATTAAGAAGGTAAATATGTACATAAAATATGTACAGGCATTTGAAGCTATGTGTATATAGAATGTACGCATTCATTCATAAATGTATGCAGGTACTTAATTCAATCACGCTCTGGAATTTCTTAAATTGAATTATTACAATAGCGCCGATTATTGTTAAACAAAAAATACAGCGTTTTCGTTCATTTGTCATTTCCGCAAACACAATTCGAATACAAACAATTTCGGACAATTTGTCTACTGAATCATATAGTAAAAATGTTATGGAAATATTAGAACTTCGATTTGGTTCCCTTATTTACATGAGTATAAGTTAAATAGGAAGGGGAAACCTGTGAGGAAAACTTAAACTTTTGAACTTAAACTTTTTTGGGCTAGTAATATATTTTTTATTTTTTTACGACGAACTCTGTTATCCATTGAAAAGTACGTCCAGTTAGTCTAGTTGTTTAGCAGCTGTTTTCACTGGGAGACAATTTATCCATTGTTCTCATTATCCAAGTAGAGAAAATAGAAAGAACTGAAGAGAAAGGATAGTAGATAGTGATGTGTTAACGGGTTTAGCCAAGGTTTGACAACACTAAGCATTTTTACTGGATCTATTTCTATTCTAATTCTAGAGTATCAACTTAACGATGGACATCTAAAGATGTATATGTTCAATTGATTCTAGCTCTTCATCATCCTTAGATAAACGGCAATAATTCTCTCCATTGATGTCCCATTTGGATATAAGTCCACACCAGCTTTGGATAGTTTATCAAATCCTTATCAGCTCTAACCATATGCCAGCCAGGGAACTCGGTCGATCATTATGTGACCATGGTAATGATCGCATTATTAGGATTGTAAGGTACGATTTTTTACGAAATTATAAGTTTTGTTCCATCTAGTGTTATCTCAAAATATCATTTAGTAATGATATACATATGCCCTAAAAAGATCAATAAATTATTGAAACATAAAAGCTCAATGCAAATATTTGGGGAAAAGTAAGTATTACAGAATTTTTCGGTTAATTGCACATCAAAATTTGCACAAATTTTTGTTCAATTAACCGAGGAACCAATTATCCGAACACGCTTAATTGAATAGTTTGTTCAATTACAGTAATCACGTATAATTGGAACTACTAATGATTTAAAAAAATTCAATGTCCAATACAAATTACGCTTTCTCGCAGTTTTTCCTTAGCAATAAACATATGTTTTGAATTAGTAGAGGTGCCACCTAGTCTTTTTCACAAATTATGTCAAATATGTTTGTAAAAAAATGACAGATTATTTTTCAATTATTATTATGCAATTAACCGGTGAAAAGTAAAAGGAAATTTATTTTTGATGGCATGCATTTTGAACCAATTAAGCGGGAAAATCAATTAACAGGGTTTAATTATCCGAGAAAATTTACATGTATTTTCCTATGAAATATTTGTTGCCCCATCATGTGGTTCAATTAAGCGTGGAAACCAATTAACCGTAGGGCCAATTAACCGAAAAATACTGTATTATATATTTGTTACATTTGTTTTCGCGGATTCTCACGATTGGTTTGCATATTTTCCTATTCTGATCGATAAAACATTTGAATCACCAATATTGATGTAACTAATACAACATTTGATTATACCAATTACCTGATTTTTGATGATGTTCTCAACATTTTCCTTCGTATAAACCTTCTCACTGCAATTACAAACAACCGAAGGAACATGTGTATCAAATCGATGCAGTAGATCCCAATACACCATGGAAAAAATTTTCACATCATAATCACCGATAATCTGATTTTAGATACTTTGAAGGTAGTAACAAAATACCCTTTGAATTGCCTTTAATTTTGTATTTCCCATAGGATGAGAAACTTTCCTGCTAATTGCCGGTATAGTAACAAATTTTTGCTATAGGATCCAACTAATAGGATTTTTTGATATTTAGGATATTAAATGGACCAAAAACTTTATTTTTGTGTTTTTTCTGGTCGCTCTATATGCTACAATTGTGACCCGAACACCACGAAATTTTATTCCAGGAAGGGAATCTGACCAAGAATAAGCATGGCTATTTTGATGAAGATCAGTCAATATTCAGCGCGTCAAATGGACCATGACTTTTGTTTGAAAATTGACAAAATTTGTGTTCTGGGGCGTAAATATTTACTCCTGAAGTCGATAGTATATCCAAGAGACGAGAATCATATGTATTACGATATTCCAATTTCCGAGCTAAAGAGAGCAGCGATGTAGCCCGAAATGATTTTTTCAGAGTAAATGTATGCTTGATTTTTTTTCATTTTGTACTAGCGGGTAATTCTAAATTCCTACTAAGCTTATTTCATATATCATACGAAGCAAATAATATCACTAGAAATTTTATTAAAAAAAAACATACTTCTTCCAAATAATTAAATTGAACTATAGTTTGCTAAACAAAAAACTAAAAGTTTGCTCTGGTCAAATAATTGTTATTGTTTTCTAATAAAAACATTTACATCGCACAATTGCATCAATTAACAAAATGAATTGTTTTAATTTAATTCACAAGGGACAGACAGACGTAAATATAATGAGGTTCTTTCTCGGTGTGCCCAGTGAATTTCAAAATATTGTATAAACATTTGCTATAGTTTCGGCTGGAATACAAATAATTCAAAATAAACATTTGTAAATTATTTGAACGAATTTGAACACATTCAAATGTGGAATTGGGTAAATGAAAATACAAACAAACGCGTTTTTGCAAGCAAACCACCGAATATATAACATATATAATTTGAATGCTGTGCTCTCCATCAAAGGATAATGAATGCATTCGCCCACAAAACGAAATGAATATGCGTTAAATATTTAATTTATACTATTTGCTAAATAAAATGATAAAATGAATTAAATCTCAAATAATATTTCTTAAAAATTGATCGAATTCACTAAACTCATTTGGAGCAGAATACTGTACAATTTTTTTCATCCCTTTAAAATTACCGTTTGGTATGTTTGTACCAATTGGTTTCACAACGTTACCTAAAATTCAACGATGCGTACAAATATATTCAAGTTCCCCACTATGGCAAAATGTTTTGTACGGCCGTATTACCCAAATACGTCGAATCCATTTCTCTTGGGGACTAAACAAAATCGCGAAATAAAATTAAGAAATTATAAAATGTGTTCAATTATTTCATATTCTTATTGAAAAAAATTATATTTGTTTATGCCATGTACAGACGAGCGTCGTTCGCTCTCTCATTCGTTGTTCGACCCCTAATTATGAAGTAATTACTTAGTTCCCCATACAAAATTTTCTGAGCGAACACCGACTTTTGTACGTTGAATAACCAAGAATTTTGTCCCATCCCTAACATTTGACAGTATTTATCGAAAATAAATTAATTTTGACAGTAGTGTTGGCGGGTTATTTGGGATACCATTTGTATTTTGTTTTTGCAAAATAGTCAGGCTTAATCCCAGTTTGTTGTTTTTATAAAAAAACAACTATTTATTAGTGGGGTTTGAAAATATTTATGAAATTTTCAAACTTTTTCAGTAAAATTGAAAATGATGAATGAAAAGTAACAAATTGTCTAGTTTTTATATATGCAGAAGGAAGTAAATTTTGTAATCTACATAATGCAATATGCATTTCTTTCCCTTTTGTTCTAATTAGCGTACAAAACGAGAAACAAATGTGGGGAAACCCAAACAAAAATTCTCCAATTTTTTATATGTCACATTTGAATTGAGAAAATATAAAAATGTATTCATAGCAACAATATTTCCGGAAAAAATGGAAAACATGAATTAAAAGCAAATATATATAGGTTCATACTATAGTCAGGAGAAAGAAAATTATTTTTTCTATTTAGATCCATATGAGATTCACGCAAATATGTTAACATTTTGGCGTAAAACAAGAAACAAAAAGTTTGAAATAAAAAAACTCTAATGACATGAATTAAGAATAGTGCTGTATGAACGGGTTAATTCATGTTCTGTCATGTCAAAATTCGTACGTCGACGTATTTCGGTAACATTCATATAAATACATGTGTTCTACTTTTGTGGTGAAAAACGTCAAACGAACGAGTTGAATTTTAGGTAAGGCTGTCAAATGGAATGCATATTGAACACACTTGGTCTGTTCCCGTACTGCAGGAATCTACTAATTTTTACTACGATAACGAATTTTCCTTTGTAATATCGAATAAAATAGTAAAATCTAGTTGATTCTTGCTGTACGGGAACAGACCAACTATAAGTGTTGTTTATACCATACACCGTACTGTGGTACATTGTATTATGTTTTCGTGCATATATTTGTAGCATAAAATCACTTTCTGTCTGTCTTTGTATTTTTCCAAACAACATTCAGATCGCATTTATTATTCAATTTTGTTGAAATTTGACACAACTCATTCGGATTTAGATATAGATCCCATATAATAGGTTGGGGGAAAAGAAATCCATTATTTTTCAGCATATGGCTGTACTGATAGATTTCTCGTAAAGTATCGATCAAACAATTTCACATTTATGCTCGTTGGAAGGGTGACAGTTGGCAGTAAAAAATATTTTGCTATTCGAAAAATCGGTACATTTTACTTTTTTTCTTTGACAAGGGCGAAAATGCAAGCCAAGAGCCTAAAATTGTGAATGGTGTTTATGGTTCCGATACTGTAACAGCCAATTATGTACAATTTTAGTTTCGTAGATTCCGTTCAGAAATTTTTGAGGTTAAAGATGCACCTTGCACAGGTAGGCCGGTCGTCGGAGATGTCGAAATGTTAGCAGTCGTAACTTCGCCCAGGAGCTAAAAATCGACCAGCACGGCTTTAAACCATTTACACAAAAAAGAAATGGATTTCTTTTTCCCCAACCGCATATGTTTTTCGTTTGATTTCAAATAAATGTTGCAATAATAGGCAACATTTTGTCGAAATTTTGTACAAAGTTTGGCTTTATTGGTCCAAATTAACATATAGCTCTCACATAAATTTGTATCATATTTCATATAAATGGTACACCAAAGTCCCTAAGTCTGGCCGGATTAAATTAAATTTTGGATATATTACCGAAATACATGCGTACGGCACACCACTTAAAAATAATCAAAAGATGTGTAGAATATCATATTTATGTAACATTTAACAAACAGAGCTGTAAAATTGAGTTAAAGTTTTTTTTTTAATTTTTTGTTGCACAAATATGAAATACATACATACTATTCGCGTCCTCCCTTGTACCAATGTCCGTTCGGATTAATACCAAATTAGCTTTTTGTTTTCAAATTTATCTTACCATTTAAATTACAGATACCTCAAATGTGTAAACTTAGCTGATGCTTTCCTTTTTTTTTTATTGTATACACGTGCTTACTTAGGTGTGTTTGTAATCACAAATATGAAATTCTCACAAAGCTATTCATAAATTCCTCCAGCGCGTGATGCCAATTAAAGTTTACGTTACGTTTGTTGTAATTACGTTTTTATTTGCTATGTAGAGTAATTCTTTGCGCTATTTTAATTGTGTTCTATTCCATAACAGGATGATTTGGAATATGGTTGCCTGTGCCAACAAAAAGGATTTGCATCCAACCTCAGCAGCAATTCCACAAAGACCGCTAAATCAAAAATCCTCTGGGCCGTCGGTATGTGTTGCATATTTATGGTAAGTGCTTCCAGCTCTTTGTTATGGAAGATCAACAGCAAAGCCATGCTTACATACATACAGCAAAATATCTGTGTGTATTTGTGTTTGTGTTGTATTGTTCTTACTTAGCCACGTATGTTTGTTGGACGTTATTTAAACACTCTCATCCTCGGATACATGTACAATAAAGTGATCCTTGTGATTGCATATTTTCTAAAGGTTCTACGTTAATGTAACAAAATCTGAAATCTGTTCAGAAATGTAACGTTGTGCTGATAAATTTCTCTTACGCACTTTGTCTCCTTGACATTGTTTTTAGCTTAAAAATCATCGTCATTAATTTATAAAAATATTAAAATTACAATTTTTGGTCATTTCATGCTTAGCTTCTTCGGAACATTTCCAAGAAAAAAAATTCTTTATTTTCCAACAATTTATCCGACACACTTATACACATAAACTTATTCACATAAATTGTACTAATTATCATTAATTATTCAAACTGTGAAATTTGTATTCTGCTTTTGTCCCACTTTAATGTTAAACAATTGTTTTTGTTTTTCGCTTTAAATGTATATGTGTACACTTGTGCCATGGTTGTATGAGAATGTTGATAACATAACCACCGACCAACATCACCACCATCACCACCGCCACCTACATTCCGGTGAACACACCACAAACATGCTCAAATATCCATAGATCCACTCATATTTATTGTTTTCGTTTTCAACAACAATTTCTTTTTCAATGCTTTCGTCTCGTTTGTTAACTTTTTCGATGGCTCGTTCTTCCTCTGTTCTACCCACACTGGCGCTGAAACTGGTGCTGGCGGTCTTCCTGGTACTACGGCTGCCTTTACATGTAGATTGTTGAATTCCTGGGTGGCTACATTGCCGGAAGCTTAGCCATTATGACGGATGCCGCACATTTAGCATCAGATTGCATTAGTTTCGTTATTGGTCTGGTAGCAATCTGCCTGGGCAGTAGACCACCGGATGCAAAAATGTCATTTGGATACAAACGCTTAGGTACGTATAACTCTGCCATAATCGCCTCTAACCAACAATCACAATCTCACACACTTGCATTCATTTTTCTAACCATTACCAACACATACAACATATTACTTAATTTTAAGTGCATTTTAGTAAATTCTGATATGTAGCTAGGTGGGTACAGAATGTGGTGGATTTAATGCAGCGTTGTGCACAAGTGAAATAAGAGTGTGTTTGAGCGTAATGAGAAATCATCATTGAAAACGACTGACGGAAAGAGAAATAAAGGGAAAACGTGTTTAAACATCGGCTATAAATTACGATAGCATATATGGCTGAGCATCAATGCTTTAATGTTACGAATTTCATGTATTATTTTTATTTTACGAAATATTTAAAATATATTTATAACTAGCAAAGTACCCGCTACTTCGTATGCGGAAAGGGAATAAAAAAATATTTCACATGGAAATCGTGAATACCGTATAATTAGTTGTACTATAGTTCTGAATTCCACCTCTATTCCTACATTTAATATCAAGTTTATTACCATTATTACCATACAGGTGCAGGTTCCACATGTAATTCCATTTAGATTTTTTCATTATACATTTTCAAGACTACCTCTAATACATTTTCAAGTATTAGGGGCAGTTTTTTTCATTTTCTCATACTCATAGGTAAGAATTCCTAAAACTACATCAATCCTACACTCTAAAAGTAATCTTACTTCCACCAAAGCCCAAATTTTTCCAAATTTAGTGATTTTCGTACTCATAAGTACAAATTTCTTTCAAATAGTCAAAATTTAAGAATTTCAGCTCTGTGTGAAACCATTCCGCACTTTTCGTACCCATATACTAAACCAATCTCAATATTCCAAACCTGCTTTCAATCGTAAATCCAAATTTAAGAATTTCAGCTCTATCTGTTCATTAAACTGTACTTTTCCTACAATCCCAGAGTAACCTAAGTTGCAACTTTCAGGATTCGAGTTCTACCTGTTCACCAAAGTCCAAATTGTAGCAAATTTTTTGGTTGTCGTACCCAAAGTACAAATTTCCAAAAATACCTTAGTCATGCTCTCCAATAACAACCTTAGGTCCACATTTAAAGATTCCAGCTCTATTCGTTCACCAACATCCAAATTGTACCATTTATTACTTTTCGTAGACGTTTTCTAAAACTGCCTCAATTTCGCACTGAAACAGTAATTTTATTCATTAATTTCAGGATAACAGCACTATCTCTTCACGTACTCATGAGTTCGAATTTCCAACACTGTCCCAATCCTTTGCTATAAGAGTAATTTTATTTTCAAATCCATCCATCTCTATCCTTTCACTCAAATCTAAATTGTACTAAACGTAGCACCATTTAGTATAGATAATTACATATTTTTAAAACTACCTCATCCTACACTCCAAATATTAGGATTCCCGCCCACACAAAATGAATTGTACCATATCTAGTACCAATTAGGTCTTCTCGTATCGTGCAATTTTAATTCCAAATTTACGTTTACTATCTCTATCCGTTAACTCGAATCAAAATTGTACCAAATTTTTTTACCATTTAGTACACAGAATGACGAATTTTAAAAAATTACCGACGTATCTCAATTCTGCACTCAAACTGTAATATTAATTCAAAATTTCAGAATACAGCCCTATCCGTTCACTCATTTGTAAGCTTTCGGTACCATTTAGTACTTTTTGTTTCTATAATTAAAAATTTCCTAAACTATGTCAATCCTACACTCCAACAGTAATTTTAATTAAAAAATTTGGGAGTCCAGCTCTATCAGTTCACACGTAATCAAGTTGTACCAAATATAGTACTATTTAGTAGACATAGGTAATATGCTCCCATATCTCAATTCTATATTCAAACATCAACCATTAGTCCAAATTATGGGTTTCCAGCTCTCTCCGATCACCCAAATCCATCTAGTGTCATTTAGTACTTTTCGTACACATAAATACGAGTTTCCAAAGATGTCTCTATAGCTCAATCTTCAACAGAAATCTTAATTCAAAAATTCAGGTTTTCAGTTCTATCCTTTCAAGCAACATCCAAATTGTACTAAATTTAGTACCATATATAGCTTTCGTACCAATAAGTACGAATTTCATAATCTACCTCAGTCCTACACTCCAACAGTCATTTTAATTCCCAATTTGAAGACTTCAGCTCTATCTGTTCACCTAAATCCAATTTTAGTACCATTTAGTACTTTTCGTACAAATTAGAACGATTTTTTAAAGCTAATTCCGATTATCAAGATTCCATCTCTACACACTCAACTGAAGGTAAATAGTATGGAATTTAGTACCATTTTACAATTTTATACACATAAGTACGAATGTCTTAAACCATTTCCGTACATCAACACCACTTCCGAACCTGTATTCCATTTAAAATGCCAAGATTCCAGCTATATATGTTCAATATATATACAATAGGAACTAAATTCAGTAAAGTTTAGTACCTTTAGTACACTTATAGGTCGAATTTCCAAAAACCCTTTTGCACATCTTTCTAACTTTCCATCACTGACCAACATTCCAAATTTCAGAATTCTAGCTCTTCCCGTTCGCTAATAAATAGGGTACCATATTTGGTACATTTTAGTACATTTCATACCCTTCTACTTCCAACAAAATTTCCTGCATACCCCGATCCTACACCCCCATAATGATTCCAAATTCAAATTTAAATGTACCAAATTTGGTACAAAGTAGTACGAATTTCCAATACTTCTTACTAAACCCACACCCCAACAGTTATCCTAAATCCAAGTTTCAGAATTCCAATTCTATCGGTTCATCCACAATTCAATTTGTACCAAATTTAGTACACTGTAGTACGAATTTCCAAAACTTCAAACCCAAACCTTCCACAGTGATCCTAATTCCAAATTCCAACGCTATCGGTTCACTCACAATCCAAATTTAGTACACAGTAGTACGAATTTCCAAAACATCCAACTTACCCTAACCCTACAACCCCACAGTGACCCTAAATCCAAGTTTCAGGATTTGGAAATTACAACTTTTTCGGTTCACTCACAATTCAAACTGTACCAAATTTAGTACACAGTAGTACAAATTTCCAAAACGTCCCACTTAAGTTTCAAGTTTTTAGCTCTATCAATTCACATGCTACGAAATTGTACAACATTAAGTACATTTTAGTACTTTTCGGATATTTATAGTTCGAATTTCCAAAAACGCGTTGGTACATCTATCCTACACTCAGCGAACACCAATCCAAATTTCAGAATACTAGCTCCTCCCGTTCGCCTAATACAAAGGGTATCATATTTGGTACATTTTAGTACTTTTCGTACCGTTCTAGTACGAATTTCCAAAAACCCAGCCTTATCTCACGCCTACACACCAACACCAACCCACTCTCAAAATTTCAAGCTTCTAGCTTTAGCCGTTTCATCTGGGTGATGATCTGTCAGTCAGTCAGTCACTCACTCACTCAAATTTCTTCACCAAAAATTTTAAATATAGGTCCACATTTCCTGGTAGCCCCCATAATTTTCAGTAGTTTTGAGCGTATTTTGACCTTATTTACAAATTTCTCCGCTAAAAATTATAAATATAGGTCAATAGTAGTATATGGTAAAAAAAATCTCCTTTCCAAAAATTTTAAATATAGGTCCACATTTCCTGGTAGCCCCCATAATTTTCAGTAGTTTTGAGCGTATTTTTGACCTATTTTGACCTTATTTACAAATTTCTCCGCTAAAAATTATAAATATAGGTCAATAGAATATGCATAGACTCACTTTCAAAGTCGACTTACGTCCGTCTGTCCGTCCGTCCATGTATTTGTGTGAACAAAGTACAGGTCGCATTTATGATCCGAATTGGATCAAATTTGGCATAGGTCACTTATTTGGCCCAAGGACAAATCCTATTGAAATTGGGAAAAATGGGTTCAGATTTAGATATAGCTCCCATATATATTTTAGTCCGATTTAATGTAAATGGTGCACTGAAGTCCCTATATATCTTTCGATTTGGACGAAATTTAGCACAGCGTTATGAATTAGGTATAGAATGATGTGTGTTAAGCTTCCCGAAAATCGGTTCAGATTTAGATATAGCTCCCATATATATTTTCGTCCGATTTGACGTAAACGGTGCACCAAAGTCCCTATATATCTTTCGATTTGCACTAAATTTGGCACAGCGTAATGAATTAGGCCTAGAATGGTTTATATTGAAATAGTTATCTGATTTGTTCCACGTTTTGCATGTCCGTCCGTCTGTCCATGTTAAATTGTAAACAAAGTACAGGTCGCATTTATTGTCCGAATTGTATGAAATTTGGCACAGCTTATCTATTTTGACTAAGGACGAACCCTATTGAAATTGGGAAAAAACCGATTCAGATTTATAGCTCCCATATATATTTTCGTCCGATTTTAGATAAATAGTGCACCAAAGTCCCTATATATCCTTCGATTTGCCGAAATACGGCATAGCGTACTAAATTAAGTCTAGAGTGATGTGTGTTAGGTTTCGGGAAAATCGGTACAGATTTCGATATAGCTCCCACATATGCATATGTATTCGTCCGATTTTACATAAATGGTGCACCAAACTCCTAATATTGTACCGATTAACACGAAATTTTGCACAACGTATCAAATTGAAACTTAAATGGTATTTAACAGTGCGGAGTACAGAATAGCGTGTATCAATTTTGCTATAAATCGATTTTCACAAATTTTTACCATGGTACGAAGACGACTCCGAATATGCCGGAATGAAATTAAATTTATCATAGTGTTTTTCAACAAAATTGAATGTAATTTAGTATTTTGAATTCTCATTGGGTGTGAAATATTCGTACCGAAAACAATCAATATTGACTTAAATTCCCCATTATTTCGTAGCTTAGGGATTTAGAGCAAACTGAGCTATAATTAATATTTAATTAAGGTATGACATAACTTTAAGACAATAATACATAAAAATACGATTTCATGCTATTCTCATGTTAAATACCGCCAAGAAATTAAATATTAATTTTGTTGCTATGTTTGATACGCCATTTTACATTAATTTTATTTGATTTTCAAAACCTTCATTTTCACGTTCGATCCACCATATAAAATAGTTACGTAATCAGGGCCCTCGAAACTCTTATAAGTGATATTTACTTATGGCCAACCAATTGGATCTTTCTAGCGATTGCCCAGATTTGTGCCCAGATTTATTGCAACCATCCAATCTAGGATATGGACAAAATCTGAACTGATCTATAGTATAGTAGTCATAAAGTTTCTATACTACTGCAGGACATTTTCTATACTACTTCATGAGGTATACATTTTAAATACCTTTAATCAGTAAGGACTAAGCGGATTGGCGGGTTATGCCCCGATAAATTGTAGGTAATAAGAGAACCAAATAGGAACCCGATGATCGTAAAAAGTTAAACAATATTGATAACGTTTGGTAGGAGGATGTGTCACTCAATGAAGATTCAACATACCAAATTAAAGCCAATTTGATTTTTAAATGTGTCAAAACTCCCCAAAATGCCGAATAATAGGATTACCGTTATATATGGGCTATCCTAAAAAGTGGACTCATATCGAGCCTGGGTAGTAGCAATTCTTTTCATGAACTAACTTTTTGCGTCTACGCTGAAAAATATCGATTGGTTGAATAAAATATTTTATGCTGGCAATGATGTATATATGTTATACATTTGTGCCTAAAAGTATGCCATGCTATAAGAAAATTTATTTTAATATTTCATTTAAAACTAAAATTGTATATTTCTATTTAACTATTTCATTCCAACAAGTTGTATACCAGATGGAATTTATTTCTAAAGTTGATAGCCGTTTTCACAACGAACGTTTATTTGTATGCCAAAATGTTGATATGTATGTATGTGCCTATGTACATAACGTTGAATTATGTTAATTTTCGAATAGAATGCTAATATTTTCTATTTATTTAAGACACATAAATGAATTTTGCAATTCGTATGCATTACAACATTTGCTCTATGTTGGTCTGCATCTGAATGCTTTAGATTCTGAGTGACTGGCTGACTGTCTGGCTGAATGAATGACCGCGTGGCGTGATTGTGTATTCGTTGCCAGTGCCTGTGTAATGGGAATTTGTTTAAAGTGTTATTTTGAACTCTCTATACTCTTGTTTATTTGCAGAGGTTATGGGCGCGTTAGCATCGATCCTGGGTATTTGGATTCTAACCGCAACTCTGGTTTTGGTTGCCGTACAACGCATCTATGCCAACGACTACGACTTGGATGCCAACACTATGATGGTCATTTCTGGCATTGGAATTTTAATTAATATCATGTAAGTGTAAATATTTTTGTCCATCAGGGTCCTATTTTATTAGATGAACAAAGTTGTGGTAATTGCTGTTCTTGTTATTTATGCGAAAAAGACACACAATTACAACAGTGTTAACAAACACATATATATATAAATATATAGAAACCTAAAAAAACTGAATTGAAATTAAAATTTGTATGTTAAAATTCGGAGTTATTATTTAAATTACATTGTGCAGCACAAAAAAGGGGGGATGGGTTTGTTGGTTTGTGTAATATTCTCCCTTTTCAAGAATTTTGATAATTTTCGAATTATGTGCGACAGTGTTATGAAGTAATGAATATATGGGAATACTACTTGCTTTTGTTGTTTTATGAGCTTAACTCTAGAACATTGGAACTACATATATATGTAAATCACTATCAGTGTTGCCAAAACTTGGTAGATATAAATGCTGGAAAGTGCTAAAAATAAAAGAGCCAAATAAAAGTGTTAACAACTTTATAGAAAGAAAGAACTTTGCTTACAGTAATAATGATATCCGTATTTCTTAAAAATGCATTATACATACTAGGTAGAGTTTGGGTATATTAAATTAGCCTGCAACATCTCGAAATGTTAAAAAGTTCGGCCGGGTCGGTGAACATCAGAAAACATCCAGAAAAAATAAAAATGCTAATATATATGCATGGTGCTAAACGAGTTTGAAAAGTGCTAAATCAATCACAAAAAGTACTAGATTGGCAACACTGATCACTGTACACGATATTTATGTGCATTTGAGTATAAAAGGGCGAACTTGGTATTTTCCATTTAATTCTCGAGTAAATATTTATCTAGTCATATTTATTTTTCAATATTTTCCAGTATGATTTCTATTTTACACACTTCGTCGACTGAATTGCCGGAAGGTGGCATAGGTGCGGCTCATGGCCACAGTCATAGTCACAACCATGGCCACAAACATAGCCATAATCACCATCACGGTCATAGCCATAGTCAAAACACTTCACAGATCCATTCGCCGGATTTGCAGCGACATCAACACCGACACAGTCCTCTGGACTTGGAGCACTCAGAAGGGCCAGTAGATGCAACAGACTCACACTTTTCCTCTGCCGTTGACAGTGCTGGAACAATATCGATGGAGCAGAGGTCTGTGCCATTGGAAATGTGCCACGGAAATGACTTGAAACACCAACAAGATGGGTAAGAATTTATTGAAATAAAATTGCTTGTGGCTATTTATTTAAATGTCGACATTTGAATGTGATAAACGAAAACAAAGTAAACAAAACAAGAATTAAACGAACTCTTCGTATTAAGGCGACTTTAAAAGGACACATACAAATGTGGCCTTTATTTTAAATGGAGGTCACGTACGACCGGTGCGTAATATAAGGAACTTTGGAATATTCACATCCGATTTTTTAGTTTTTTTTTTTATTTTGTTACTAAATAAACAGTTTATTTTTAAGTTGCATATAAACTTGACACAGCTGAAATTTAATTTATTTGACAGATATTTACATTTTTTGTGTGTATCAATGTTTACATGTTATCGTCACAAATGCATAAATATATATTTATTTATTTTACTTTTACAGAAACGACAAGAATCTAAATTTGAGGGCAGCGATGATTCATGCGATTGGAGATCTAGTTCAAAGTTCCGGAGTTTTCATCGCATCAATATTTATAAAAATATATGTAGGTATCCATATATGTAGGTCATACTTCTTTATTGCATAAAGCTAGATTTAATAGTTACTAGTGTTCAATGGCAAATCAACTCTCTTACATGTAGTGCGTCTTTACATATAACTGCACGATATTCGAAAAATAACGCAGATAATTTGTTTAAGCATAATGTGTATAACCCTTGACTTCGTTAAAATCGAGATATTTTCTCCATTTGACTTACGTCACATATATTATTCTTCATCCACATCGCTGCAGTAAGTCCTTATTTTACAAGAGAATCAAAAAATAGCCAGTTATTACACTTAGCACCTTCACTCATCCCTACAAAACAACAACAACAACAAATGAGATTTTTATACCCTCAGCTTTATGAGGGTACATACACTTTGATACGGTGAACATGTTCCACATCGAAATATTGGTCTTAGACCTCATGTTTCTATGGACCAAATCCGTTTCAGAAAATTTGGAATCGATTTACACATGTCCGCCCGTCTGTCTGTCTGGCTGGCTGGTGCGGACGATAACTCTCAAAGGCAATAATCGAGTTCATCCAAAATTTGCACATCTTCATATTATTTCCAAATTTAGTTAAATTTCAAAGATGATTAATATCGGTCCACTCCTTTTGGTACCTCTTCCACAAAATGGTCAACATTGTGCTAAATATTAACTTTATAATAACATGTAAATGGACTATCCGATTTTAACGAAACTTTGTACAATCTTTACAAAGACTAGATAAAGTTTGAAGATGGGACCAATTGCTCCACTCCTTCTGGTATATTCCCCACAAAGTGTTAACATTTTCAATATTTATAAATCCAATATCAGGCGAATGGAATGTCCGATTTGAAGCAAGCATTGCACAACCTGTTACCTTTACCAAGTCTAGATCAAGTTCAAAGATGTGACCCATTGGTCCATTCCTTCTGGTATCAAAATCTCAATTTCTAGAAAAAGGGGACTTATTGCCTTTCTACTTTGGTTTATTCGTCAAACACTGAAGGGCTAAACAGAATGTTATTTGTTAACGCACGCAAAAAGTTAAAATCTATTTAACTCCGAAGCGCACATCAACTTCAAGCGTTTGTGTTATCTTTTCTTTGTGGTTGTGTATTTTTGATAACACAACGCAACGGACGGCTCAACGCGAAAATTCGGCTTAAACCTTCACTGATGTATAAATTCAAAAATCCACAATTGCTTTAAACCCATCTGACAATGTTCTATGGTCGTCTGCTAAATGTCACACGATTAGATTAATTTCCATTAATTACATAATATATCCAAATATATTTTCAGCCAAAAGCCGAGATTTTGGATCCCTTATGTACAATACTTTTCTCTGCAATTGTCATATTGACAACAGTAAATCTATTCAAGGAATCGATTTATATATTATTGGATTCAGTACCAAAGGGTGTATCATTACACAATCTCGAAATGGATTTACTCAATATCGATGGAGTCAAGTAAGTGTCAAACTCAACCTAACAAAATACACCAAATAACTGACAATCTTAAATTCTTACAGATCTGTGCATCATCTTAACGTCTGGAATCATACCTCCAAATACAGTATTTTAATGGTTCACTTAGTCATAGGTAAGCACAACATAAAGCACCACCCCGCAACAGTTCGTCATAAATGACAAACAATGCATTTCTATTTATAGATTTCCTAGCCGACAGCAACACGGTCCTAGTGAAGGCTACACAACTGGCCAGCAATTCAAAGTACAAAGTTAAACATAGCACCATACAAATAGAACGTGTTACCTCATAATTGCAGCTGAATACAACACAATGAGTACAAGAGTTCGGATAGCAATACGAGTATGCTTAACACCGACGTGTACACCGAGCCGGGCAGGCAGATGTGTGAATTGTATAGAAAGCCAAAATCATTAAATGGATTTGTTGGTAAAATACCAACATCTCCAGTCACAAATTGTTCAATAATAAAATTTCAAAACCAAAGGAAATTATTTTAGGAAATTTAGACATTAGTCATCAAAATATATTATCGTATTGTTATTAAAGAATAGTTAATAATGTTTGAATAGAGTTTTTATAACGTCACAAAATATATTGATGTAAGAAATCATGACTGAAATATAAACAGAAAAAGACAAATATATGACAAATAAATTTAAATGCAAAATGAATTAATTTAACTTTACATGGTTGTGTCGAGATTTTCAACTCCCAATACATTCTTAAATAATCTTTATTCCGAGCCCAAGTTTTTTTTCTTTATTTATTTACAATCTGTCCGAGGACAATAATTGCTTATTGTCCTCGGAGGAGGTAAAATATATACAATAACAGGAATTATGTAACTTCATTAAGTTACATAAAATAAAACAAGAATTATAACTGTTTTATACACAATAATATACAGTGAGTGTAATAAGTATTTTGCCTCGATACAAATTTGAAAAATTTCTGATATATACGCCTAAAGCCAGCGTACCAAAGATGTAAAATGAATTATGTATGATAGGATATGTTTGTGGACATATTTAGATCTTATTTCTGCAAGAATCACTGCGAACGACCTATTGGTCACGAAGATATCGGCAAAAATCTATACCAACCCAAAAATGATTATCACAAAAAAGTATTTTGCTTTTTATTATTATTTTTGAAAACAACTTTATATAACACACGCTTTGCTTTTTTATAGTTACTATTGCGGGTATCCACATACTAGAAGCGATTTGGCGTCGATTCCAATAAACCACGGCATTTTTTCCGCGAATATTTTCTCACATTTACGTTCAATACATTCTCCAGCAATATTTCATTTAATATTTGGTAATTTATCGTCCTCATCTCAAAATGAGAGTATTAAATATAGTCGTCGCGGCTTCAGAACATCCCAAATAAGTTTAGAATAATAAAAAGGAGGTTTTGCAAAATATATCGCAAGGACAGGACCTTAAAAACTATTAAAACAAAAATCCGACAAACAAATTATTTAAAAAAATATCGCGAAACCCCATTTTTCTGACTTTGAAAACTTTATGGTCCATTAATATTGATCTAGGAACCAATATATGCGATGGAAATAGGAATATGGAGGTCAGATTCAAAGATATGAACGGTTTTGTGGCAATAGAAATACATCTTATTTCGAAAATAAATATATCGACCAGTTTATTTACTGCTGCATTTTATTCGCAACTGACGGTGTTAAACGGATATAAAATATTGAATGCGTCTTCGTCACCTGCTACCACAGGTTTTCAAAACGCAATAGTATTTGACGAAGAATGATGTTTTCTCCCAAATTCATGTACTGCTTTGTAGTTTCTGTTGTTTTAGAACTGTTCATATCTTTGAATCTGACCTCCATATTGCTATTTCCATCGCATATATTGGTTCCTAGATAAATATTAATGGACCATAAAGTTTTCAAAGTCAGAAAAATGGGATTTCGCGGTATTTTTTTTAATAATTTGTTTGTCGGATTTTGGTTTTAATAGTTTTTAAGGTCCTGTCCTCGCGATATATTTTGCAAAACCTCCTTTTTATTATTCTAAACTTATTTGGGATGTTTTGAAGCCGCGACGACTATATTTAATACTCTCATTTTGAGATTAGCACGAAAAATTACCAACTATTAAATGAAATATTGCTGGAGAATGTATTGAACGTAAATGTGAGAAAATATTCGCAAAAAAATGCCGTGGTTTTTTGGAATCGTCGCCAAATCGCTTATAGTATGTGGTTACCCGCAATGGTACCTATAAAAAGGCAAAGCGTGTGTTATATAATGATTTTTCCAAAAATAATAATAAAAAGCAAAATACTTTTTTGTGATAATCATTTTTGGGTTGGTATAGATTTTAGCTGATATCTTCTAGATCAATAGGTCTTTCGCAGTGAGTCTTGCAGAAATAAGATCTAAGTATGTCCACAAACATATCCCATCATACAAATTTACATTTTACATCTTTAGTATGCTGGCTTTAGGCGTATATATTGGAATTTTGAGAAATTTATATTGAGGCAAAATACTTATTACACTCACTGTATACATATATACAGTCCCTTTTAATTGCGAAATGGCAAATCCAATACATCTGTTCTACATAGTCTTCGTACTTCGTTAGTGCTGTCTAGGAGAGCGATTTTCTTCTTTGACAGATAGTATGCCGATGTCTGTTCTAATAGATTTATTTCTTATGAACCAAGGTGCGTTTGTAATTAGTCTTAACATTTTAGACTGAAATCGTTCTATGATGTCTATACTCGAATTGCATGCTGTTCCCCACAGCTGTGTCCCATAGCTCCAAAGAAGTTTCAATATTGATTTATAAATTCTTAATTTATTGTTTAGATTTAGTTGAGATCTCGGCCCCAACAGCCAGTATAATCTTTTGGCTTTGTTGTTTAATTGAGCTTTCTTCGCTAGTATATGAGTCTTCCACTTAAGGCGTCTATCTAAGGTTATGCCAAGATACTTCACCGTACTTTGTTCCGGTATGATACTACCATTTAAATAAACAGGAGGACACGTTTGCCGACCATATGCGAAAGTTATATGACTTGATTTATTAGCATTAACTTTTATGTTCCAACATTTTAACCATATATCTAGATTATTTAGATATATTTGAAGGTGTCTTGAAGCTTCTGTTTGGCTATCATCTACGGCAATCATTGCTGTGTCATCAGCATATGTTGAAATCATTACATCATCCGCAATTGGCATATCAGATGTGTATTGTTAACTTTAATCAATGACCGTTCATTGTTAACTTTAACATAGAAATATCTTTCAGAAAGATAGATTTAAAGAATAAGTAATACCAAGCGCACGTAATACGGTGCAGGAAGCAGCTTTTGTAGTTTATATAATAATCCTAGGTGCCATACTCTGTCGAAAGCTTGCTGGATATCGAGGAAAGCAGCTGAACAGTACTTTTTTCTCTCAAAAGCATCAGTAGCTACATTTACTATTCTATGCATCTGCTCTGGTGCGCCATGATTTGGTCTAAATCCGAACTGATGATCTAGAATTATGTTCTGACTCTCCAATATTGGCGACAATCTGTGCAAAAATGTTTCTCAAATATTTTAGAGAAAGTTACCAATAGGCTTATAGGCCTGCATCATGACACTAAATTTTCAGGTTTATTTGGCTTTTGAATCATAGTTATTTCGGCACATTTTCACTGTGATGGAAAGTGACCTGTTCTCAAAATAGAATTATATATCTGAGTAAGAAATATAATACTCTTTTTGGATAGACGTTTGAAAACATTGCAATTTATTTGATCGTACCCTGGGCTTTTCTTCTTGCTTAACTTTTTTATCTCATTTCGAACTTCGGTTGGAGAAATGTGTTTGATTGTCCCTTTTTAGCGGTGAATCCAAAAATTGTATAACACTGTTTTGGTCTTCTGCGTTGTTAAATTCAAATGGGTTGAAAGTATTTTTTAAGTGCACTGCAAACGTGTCTGCTATACTTTTATCAGTTTTGCAGAATGTTCCATCTTCTTTTCTGATCACAATGTTTCTTTTTGATGGCCTTTTAAGGTATTTGGTGGCCTTCCATAGAAGATGTTCGCCATCTCTGGAGTTATTTATTTCATCAATAAAAGCTGCCGTTCTCAAATTTTTATGCTCAAAGAGCAGCGATTTTAATTCCTTGCAAGCTCTGTTAAAATTTTGTTTGTCACGTACGTTTCTAGTATACTTTCATTGCCGCCTTAATCTTCGTTTTTCATGTAATAATCGACGTATATCGTCAGATATTTGAAAGTTCGAAATGCGAGTTGTAATTGTTTCATAGTTTTCAGTCGGTGTTGCTAACGCAGCTGCTTGATGAATGGCATTTGTAAAGAGTTCTACTGCAAAGTCTATATCAGTCGGAGTTTTCAGATTTGAGTTGACTATCCAGTATGTGACAAAACTGGTTTATATCTGTTTTTGGAGAGAAAATATTATATGATGTTCCTTCATATGTACTGATGTATAATAATTTATAAGAACAGGTGTGTGATCTGAACTAAGATTATCACTACCTTTAATTTCCAGGTTTTGACGAGGTATACCTTTGTAGACCAAGAAATCTAGCAAGTCCGGTATTTTGTTTATATCAGTAGGCCAATAGGTTGGTGAGCCGGTTGAATAGTTGTATAGTTCTCTTCCTTTCGGGTTTATTAGCCTCGAGATCTCTTCCTTTCGGGTTTATTAGCCTCGATCTGCATCTGCATATGTATACTGTCTGGGACCAGCATTATTTATATTTTCGTTATTATTAAAATTTGAGGGGTTATTGATTTCAAATTGTTCGTTACGCCTGGAGTTACATCGTTTCTTTTGAATAAGTTCTCGATATACCTTGCAACCTTTATAATTGGCTGGGTGTTGTTGTAGACAATTTATACACTGAGGAGGGACATCATTTGGTTTGTTACATTCTGTTGTTTTATGACTTAAACCCCATTTGACGCAGGTGTATGAATTTCTGCAAAAAGATTTTGTGTGTCCGAGTTGTTGACAACGATGACATTGTACAATTCCATCTGTTTTGATTGGTGGTTCGACGGTTACTTTGCAGGGATCAATTTCTTTCAGATTATAAATGTCTTTGTTATTAGATTGTGGTTCGAGATCAATGAAAAACATTGACATTGTTTTTTTGTTTGTCTGTTTCTAATATTACTAATGTTTCCAGCATTATGTCCAGCTTTTTCTATTTCAGCTTTAATATCAGAACGGGTGTTGAAAAGTGCATTTTTTATTACAACTCTATAAGACCTTTCTTGTTTTGGCTGATAAGTATGATAACTTATATTTTTGG